GTAGGTGGGGAGTTAGAGAGGAGATAGGTCAGTCCAGGGAGGATGGACAGGTCAAGGGGGCGAGATGAGGTTAGTAGGTAGGAGATGGGGGTGGGGCTTAAGGTGGGAGGAGGGGAGATTTTGAAGCTTGTGAAGTCCACATTGATACCATTGGGCTGCAGGGTTCCCAAGCGGAATATGAGGTGCTGTTCCTGCAACCTTCCGGTGGCATTGTTGTGGCACTGCAGGAGGGCCAGGATGGACATTTCGTCTGCGGAATGGGAGGGGGAGTTAAAATGGTTCGCGACTGGGAGGTGCAGTTGTTTAGTGCGAATCGAGCGTAGGTGTTCTGCAAAGCGGTCCCCAAGCCTCCGCTTGGTTTCCCCGATGTAGAGGAGGCCACAACGAGAACAGCGGATACAGTATACCATTTTTAGCAGATGTGCAGGTGAACATCTGCTTGATGTGGAAAGTCTTCTTGGGGCCTGGGATGGGGGTGAGGGGGGAGGTGTAGGGGCAGGTGTAGCACTTCCTGCGGTTGCAGGGAAAAGTGCCGGGTGTGGTGGGGCTGGAGGGGAGTGTGGAGCAGACAAGGGAGTCCCGGAGAGAGTGGTCCCTCCGGAAAGCAGATAAGGGTGGGGAGGGAAAATAGTCTTTGGTGGTGGGGTCAGATTGCAGATGCAGACTTCACAAGCTTCAAAATCTCCCCTACCCCTACCGCATCCCAAAACCAGCCCAGCTCGTCCCCGCCTCCCTAACCTGTCCTTCCTCCCACCTATCCCCTCCTCCCACCTCAAGCCCCACCCCCATCTCCTACCTACTAACCTCATCCCGCCCCCTTGACCTGTCCGTCCTCCCTGGACTGACCTATCTCCTCCCTAACTCCCCACTTACACTCACCTTCACTGGCTCCATCCCCGCCTCTTTGATCTGTCTGTCTCCTCTCCACCTATCTTCTCCTCTATCCACTGCCCCCTCTTTCCCTATTTATTTCAGAATCCCCTTCCTCTCCCTCTTCTGATGCTGCTTGGCCTGCTGTGTTCATCCAGCTCTACACCTTATTATCTCAGATTCTCCAGCATCTGCAGTTTCTACTATCTCTAAGATTTTTGATCCAGTCCTTCAGAGTGCTGTCATCCCACGTACCTCTTGCATAGGAGGTTTCTACTGCCTTCTAATGATACACAAAGCCAACACACCTGGACATCCCATCCTATCAGGCAATGGGACCCTGTGTGAGAACCTCTCTGGCTATGTCGTGGGCATGTTGAAACCCATTGTACAGGGAACTCCCAGCTTCTGTTATGACGCTACAGATTTCTTACAGGAACTCAGCACCCACGGACCAGTCGAACCAGGAACATTCCTTGTCACAATGGACGTTTTGGCACTCTACCCACATCAGCCATGACGACGGCATCACTGCAACAGCCTTAGCACTCAGTACCACTAACTGCCAATTTCCAGACGCCGTTCTATAACTCATCTGCTTCATCCTCAACCACAATGTCTTCACCTTCGACAACCAGTTCTGCATCCAGACACACGGAACAGTCGTGGCAACCAGATTTGTTCCCCAATATGCCAACATTTTCATGCACAAGTTCGAACAAGACATCTTTGCTGCATGGAACCTCCAACCAGTGCTATACACTAGATACACTGATGACATTTTCTTTCTTTGGACTTATGACGAGGAATCACTGAAACTACTACATAGCAATATCAGCAAGTTTCATCACTTTAGAATCAGTCTCATTCATGGACATACGCACCTCCATCAGGGACGAACACCTCAATACCTCACTCTACTGCAAGCCTATGGATAACCTCATGATGCTACACTGCTCTAGCTTCCACCCTAAACATATTAAAACAGCGACCCCTTATGCAGACACAGGATCTGTTCAGCTGAAGTGGAGCGAGACGGACACCTGAAGGTGTTGAAGGACGCCCTCATAAGAACAGGATACGATGCTCAATTCATCAATCACCAGTTCCGACGTGCCATAGTGAAAAATCATAATGACCTCCTCAGAAGACAGACATGGGACACATCTAATTGGGTACCTTCGTCGTCCAGTACTTCTTGGGAGTAGAGAAACTATACCATGTTCTTCACAGCCTTCAACATATATCGATGACATTGAGCACCTCGCTAAGATCTTCCCCACACCTTCACTTCTTACCTTAAAACAACCGCCAAACCTTAAACAGACCATTTTGATCGCAGGAAACTATCCAACCTTCAGGACAACATCGACGACAACACTATACAACCCTGACATGGCAACCTCTGCAAAACACGTCAGATCTTCGACATAGACACCACCAACACACATGTGAACACTACCCACCATGTGCAAGGCAGACCTCATGTGACTCAGCTAACACTGTTTATCTCATATGCTGCAGGCAAGGATACCCCGAGGCATAGCATATTGGTGAAACCATGCAAATACTACAGCAATGGATGAATGGACACTGCACAACTATTGCCAGAAAGGAATGCTCCCTCCAAATGGGGGAACACATCAGCGGTCAAGGACATTCGGCCTCAGATCTCTGGGTAAACGTCCTCCAAGGTGGACTTTGGAATATAGAACAACGCAAAGTCGCCGAGCAGAGGCTGACAGCCAAGTTTGGTACCCATGAGGATGGCCTCAACTGGGATCTTGGGATCATGTTGCACTACAAGGTGACCCCACAATACTTCTCTCTCCCTCCCTCCCTCCCTCCATCCCCCACCCCCAACCAAACATGCACACTTTCTCTCCTTCCCTCTTAGACTAGACGGGATTGAGGTTCATAAGGAGGAGGTACCAGCAATTCTGGAAGGCGTGAAAATAGATAAGTCCCCTGGGCCGGATGGGATTTATCCTAGGATTCTCTGGGAAGCTAGGGAGGAGACTGCAGAGCCTTTGGCTTTGATCTTTATGTCGTCATTGTCTACAGGAATAGTGCCAGAAGACTGGAGACTAGCAAATGTTGTCCCCTTGTTCAAGAAGGGGAGTAGAGACTGGTAATTATAGACCAGTGAGCCTTACTTCGGTTGTGGGTAAAGTGATGGAAAGGATTATAAGAGATAGGATTTATAATCATCTAGAAAGGAATAATTTGATTAGGGATAGTCAACACGGTTTTGTGAAGGGTAGGTCGTGCCTCACAAACCTTATTCAGTTCTTTGAGAAGGTGACCAAACAGGTGGATGAGGGTAAAGCGGTTGATGTGGTGTGTATGGATTTCAGTAAAGCGTTTGATAAGGGTCCCCACGGTAGGCTATTGCAGAAAATATGGAGGCGTGGGATTGAGGGTGATTTAGCGGTTTGGATCAGAAATTGGCTAACTGTAAGAAGACAGAGGGTGGTGGTTGATGGGAAATGTTCATCCTGGAGTTCAGTTACTAGTGGTATACCGCAAGGATCTGTTTTGGGGCCACTGCTGTTTGTCATTTTCATAAATGACCTGGATGAGGGCATAGAAGGATGGGTTAGTAAATTTGCGGATGACACCAAAGTTGGTGGAGTTGTGGATAGTGCGGAAGGATGTTGCAGGTTACAGAGGGACATAGATAAGCTGCAGAGCTGGGCTGAGAGGTGGCAAATGGAGTTTAATGCGGAAAAGTGTGAGGTGATTCACTTTGGAAGGAGTAACAGGAATACAGAGTACTGGGCTAATGGTAAGATTCTTGGTAGTGTGGATGAGCAGAGAGATCTCGGTGTCCATGTGCATAGATCACTGAAAGTTGCCACCCAGGTTGATAGCGTTGTTAAGAAGGCGTACGGTGTGTTAGGTTTTATTGGTAGAGGGATTGAGTTTTGGAGCCATGAGGTCATGTTGCAGCTGTACAAAACTCTGCTGCGGCCGCACTTGGAGTATTGCGTACAGTTCTGGTCGCCGCATTATAGGAAAGGGGAACCTACCATGGGGAACCTTATCAAACGCTTTACTGAAATCCATACCTTATCAAACGCTTTACTGAAATTATGGCGTTTTATAAATTGCTACTTTAGAAATAAAACCAGTCTGACTCCAAACTAAACCACAAACAGATTCTACATGATGCCCTACACCTAACATGCATTGTCTGATCTAAAATGTCACCTCTTCTTTACACTGATAAAACCTTTAATTGTCTCAGGACAGTGACTTGAAAGGAATTCAGGGATTTACATATATAAAATCAATTAAAACCTTCTAACTGATTAAAGACTTAACAGCATCTTGGGTTTGTTTAATATATCCTCATCAGCGATGTGACCCTTTTGTCTTTTACTTATAAATTCTGTGTCTGATACTACCTCTCTCACTAACACCTGAAGGAGGAGTAAGTCTCAGAAACCCTGTGTTTTCAAATAAACCCGTTGGACTATAACCTGGTGTTGTATGATTTCTGACCTCTTTAAATGATAGGCAATTAATTCCCTCAAGCATGTTCTATCTCTTGCAAAGGTTCTCATCAAGCTGTGCAATTTGGTCTGAACAGACGTTTTAACTCCTAATGGACTGATTCCCATTTCACTGTCATAGCTACAACTTCCAGCAATTTTTGATATTTTATGGGTCCTGTACATTGTTCTACTTGTAAATAAATTTATTATTTTTAACCAATGCATATTAATGACTGGTTTATACTTTTCATCTATTATTTTTATATTATAATGGACATAACAGAAATAGATTAAAAGAAGGCAGTAAAAATAGCACTGGTTAGCACTGTGGTTAGCACTGCTGCCTCAGTGTCAAGGACCTGGGTTCAATTCCAACCTGTGTGGAGTTTGCACATTCTTCCCGTATGTGTGTGGGTTCCTGACTGGTATTAGGGTTTCCTCCTACAGTCCAAAGATGTGCAGGTTAGGTAGATCAGCCAAGCTAAATTGCCCCATAGTGTCCAGGGATGTGCAGGCTAGGTAGCTTAGCCATGGTAAGTGTGGGGTTTCAGGGATAAAGCGGGGGGCTAGATTTGGGTAGGATGCAATAGGGTTGGGGTTCTGTGTTTCTGTTCTATGATTCTGGTTAAGTAGAATTTAGTATTTTGCTGCAACTTACGATCTTAGCTCTCCATCCAAATGTTGTTGGCGGAGTCTTTTGAAGTCTGGTTCGAGTGCTTGATGGTTTTCCTCAGCAGTATCATAAAAACCTGTTGCAGGTTTCTTTTCAAAGGGAATTTCAGCATTGTAGTCCACTCCTCTCTTCTTTTTCCTTTTCTTTTGTATCTCAATTCCAGCAGCTCGCAGTTCCCTGCGCTTCTGAAGTGCTGCAAGTCTCCTACATAAGAGAAGTTAATATGACATAGATTATTAACTTACCATGAAGGATGCACCTCTCAATTCTGCCAACTACAGCAGTTTAATGTGCAGATTAAAGAACAGAAGTTGATTGGAACAATCCTAAAGCCTAGATTAACATAATTTACTTTGTTTATTTTCTCCTTTTTTTTGGTTTCATTTTGTTGGCTTTTAAAGCTTTCCCAATCCTCTGGTTTCCCACTAATTTTCACCACATTGTATGATTCTTCCTTGAATTTTGACAATATCCGTAAGTTTCTTGGTTAACTACGGTCAATTTATTCCCTTCTGACAATTCGTCTAACTCCCTAGCTTATATCTTTGATGCGAGCCATTGTTCATAACACTCTTGGCTGCCAAACCGCTTTCCCAGTCCCCACCCATCAACTCTACCTCATTCCTTTGTAATAATCTATGTTTACATTTAGCCTGTTGTTTCCAAACCAGGTTTATTACTCTCATACTGTTAGGTCGTACTGTGTCCTCCTGTTGCTGTCTGCTATTTAGGCATCCCTCAACTTTCACAGCAACCACCCCAACATCCACAAACAAAGCTGCATTAGGACATACTGCAGCACTCCAGAATTACTCCGGGAAGAAGAAGAACACTTATAAAAGATCCTTGCCTTAAACGGATATCCCCGCAACTTCATCCACAGATGCCTACATAACAGACAACAACAGGAGGACACAGTACAACCTAACACACTTACAACACTTCCCTACATCAGGAACATATCGGAACTGACAACAAGACTCCTGAATACAGCCTCTATTACTTAAAATGGTCTTGAGTAATATAGATAGTCACTTATTTGCATAAATATAAATTTCAAAGTTGCCAGGGAGAGTTTCCAAATTGCTCTGCTAACAGAGCACATTTAGACTTAAAGTACTATCCATTCCATTAGGACTATTCTGATCAATCCTGCACACTCAGTTATATTTTGTCATCAAAAATCTCTCATCACAGATTTCACAAAAATTTGTTAGAATTGATGATAATATATTATAACAGCCAATACAAAAATTATAATAACAGATTAGTAATAGCTATCTTGACACTGCTACTCTTCAACCTTCATATCGCTCAACTTTTGACAAATGATTTCTAAACAGACATTTGTCAAGTCAACAATGAAAATAAGATTATGCATATTGGTTTTGAAGTACCCCATATCATTGCATATTTCAGGTAAATTGAACATATGCAAAATAAAGGTGGGTACTATATTATTCTCTTCACCATTGGTTTTTAACCAAAGAAACATGGATATTTGTTCATAAAATGTACACGAACTTTGCTGTGCAAATTATCTCAATAACTAACCTGGCTTCTTCAAGTTGCTTTTCTCGTGCTTTCCTCTTCGCTTTCTTGCCTTGAGTATTAGCCAACCGTGCTCTCGCCTCAGAGAGCATCTCAAGTTCATCTAAGAATAAAAAAAAATGTAGGTTGGACATTCCAAGATCAGTATGAGAAACATACAATGGTAAGAACAAAGCGTTTGATGTTTAAAATGTATACAAAATATATATTGCCTCACCCACCACAACGAACAAAATATATTGGAAAAAAATGTCAACGTTGCGCAAATCCGTTTACATTAACATTGGAGATTAAGAAAATATCAACAAGAAATGTTAGGAAACTGAATCTTCTCTTTTCCAATATAAAAATTAATATTGAAACTAGTAATGGACCACGATGAGAGCCACAGTAATGAAACTTGACATGCAGCTAATATATTTAATGGTGATTAGAAATAATAAACTGCATGACTTTCAAGATTTAAATCTAATCAATAAAAAGTCCAAACAAGGCTACATATGCTTTAGCATACATGAAATATATTTAACCAGCTAGGAATTAATCATATACTCTCAACTGTACAAGAACTACAGAGTTAACTTAAATTTGCAAAAAATGTTGGAAATAGGACAAATACAAGAGATATCTCAAAGATCATTGCAAACAAATCACTCAAAAACTTAATTAACATTGAGTCTGAGATCATTTTAGTCGAGAAAATGGATGCCTAATTCAAAATTAAATTGTGAACATCCAAATAATCTTTGACAGCTAGGGTCCTCAGACAAGGGGTTGTGAGTTCGTAATAAAAAGTGAAAAATATTCCTGAGGAAAAGGAACAGCATCCAAATGTAGGATTCCTTGGATGACTGAAGAAATTGAGATTCAAATAAGAAAGGAAAAGGACGTTTTTGATAATTGTCAAATTCAGAGCACTTAAAAAATCAAACAGAATACAGACATTGTGCCATAAAGCTTAAAAAAATCATCAGGGCCAAATGAAATATTTTCCAGGGAAAAGGCAGCAGATTGGCAATGCGTAATGATGCTCATTTGAAGAGCTGGTGCAACCATAATTGGCCAAATGGCCTCCTTGCAACAATTCTTTGATTCAATGAATGTACAAGATAATGCTGTAACAGAGCTTTTTGTTCAACAAAAAGACTCAAAGTTAAAGGTAGAAATGTAGCTCATTAAGGAGTAAACAGCGCACCTGGAGTATTTTGCACAATAAAGGTTGAGTATACAGCAATTCATATAATGAAAATATACATGGAAGAGCAAAGATACAAAATAGCAAAGTCATCCAAGCCTAGCTAAGATGCAGCTTAGATTGCCCAAGGATGAAATGCTACAAATAGCAGCAGCTCTGGCCAGAATCTTTCAATTATTCTTGCACTGTGCGGTGTCAAATGTTATAGATGCTTTTTAACTAAACTGTTCAGGCATGTTATGACAGTTCTGGATAAGATGAGGTTTAAATCTAGGCCGTGTTTTACTCTTGTTTAAAATAGAGGAATGAAATAACTTCAGTAATTATGGCTAATGACCAGGTCAGAGATAGAAATTTGAACACTGCCCAAGCAGAATAATTCTTAAGGATATAGAGTCATAGAGAAATACAGCGTGGAAACAGGCCCTTCAGTCCAAACTGCTCCATGCTGACCATAGTGCCCACTCAGATTGTTCTAATTGCCAGCATGTATAGAGCAGTCAAATAAATATAAAAGGCAGCAATAATAACTTTACAGAACAGGGGTATGTCATTCAGGTTATTGACTGTGCTTCACAATTCATATTTTTCATATGTATTAATTTTATCTCCACCTACATGCCTCAGTTCCTTAATCCTTAATACACTTGTTTAGAAAAATCTATTAGCCTCAATTTTGGAATTTTCAGTTGATCTGCGACAGCAGTTTTTTGGGGCCCAGTTTGTAAACATATGCTTTCCAGGTAAGGAATTTGTCATTAGGTTTTTACTATTACACTAACTTTTTCATTCCTCCTGTAGCTTTTTCGTTCCAGATTTCTATTAATTTTCATTATCAGCCATGCTCGAATTTGAACTCATGTCACCATATTATTAGTCTTGGGTTCAGGGTTACAGATCATGACATTATCACTATGTCACTGTCCCTCATTAACCTTTTTTTATATCTTTCTACAAGCTTTTTGAGATTTCTGTACTTAGTCTCCAAAATTTCCATGCAAAATCCACAGTTCCCAATATTTTCCTGTTCAGAAAATACCCCAATCTAACTTTTTCCAGTCCAAAGTGGATGACTTCTCATGTTGACTGAACTCCATCTCCCACTGTTTTGCCAACACAATTTATCTCCATGCACTCTCATTTTCAAAAATATAGTCCCCACATAGAACCTTGTTAAATTTCTTCCATAAGTCCATAAATGAAACATCCTTAGAACTCCCATACATACCGTGCCCATTACTTCCTCATAAAATTCAACTAAAATCATTAGGCATAACTTGCCCTTTACAAATCCACACTAGCTTTCCGATTACTTCATTTCCAAATACTCATGCATTCCATTCTGAATGACAGATTCCAGGAACTTCCCTACAGATGGTGTTACAACAAAAATCCTGTAATTTCTGATTTTCTCTCCTTTGCATTATGAATAATGGACATTCAAAAATTAGTAATGAGGGGACATTTACCTTTTCTGTAAGATCATGACCTGTATATTGCAAGATTTTCTCAGCTACTTCTCCTAAAATTTAATTTTGGTGACCATCCAATCTTGGAGATTTGCTCATTTTTAATTTCAGCAGGTTGTTTTTTTTTACCAGAAATCTAATGAATTCCTGTTCTTTTTTGGTTTTTCTTGTATCTGCTACTTTTATCTCTTCCTCCACCAAAGCAAAGTAGTTATTTTGTAAGTCGGTTATTTCACAATTTCCACTTACATTATTTTTGGCTATGTTCGAGGGCTTGACTACAAGCTGGTTAAACTGGGTCATTAAACACTCAGAAGGAGCTTTAACAAAGATAACATGGTTTGACACATATAAATAAATGCCATTTTCCTAATTCAATTTTAATCAAATAAAATCATAATCTTATTGCATGATCACAGAATTCTAGGTGCCAAAGGATCATTGCAAACATCATAAATCATATTTGGTATATATTTCATAACACCAACAGTGACTGACTAATCAACATTACCTCCTCTCTAAATTGAACATTAATTGCTACTTTCAATGATATACTTGTCATTTTTAATTAACATTTCTGAATTTCATTATGATACACGAAAGCCCAAAATCATGTTATGGATGCCATCATTCTCAATAGTTTACATTAGAAGAGAATGTTGCATGAAACATTGATGAGTCTACTGAACCAAAGGCAATATCCAGTCCCTGCTATGAAATGTGTTTTTATTGTTTGGTAACTGTATGATTCTGAACCAAATCATTTAGAATACTGGTGTTATATCTAACACAGAAATATGCTTCACACAAAATATCCACGTCATCACCAAGACCTTTATTAACATCACTTGACTGACTCAGTTCATCTATTACTGAAGTGTTAATCTAGACCATTGTTATTTATACGATTGACTATTTCAACTCACCCTGGCCAATCTTCCATATTTGACATTCTAAAATCTAGAATTCTGCTGCCCATGCCCTTACTACAGTAAATGTGCTCATCCAACATCCCTGTGTTTGCTGAAACACAATTGCTCTCATTTAAGCAATGACCCAATTTTTAAATTCTTATTATTTTAAAATCCCTCCATGGCCTTAAACTACCATGTCTGCTAATCTGCCCCATCGCCCAGCTCTCCAAGATACCTGTTTTCTTTTACTTAGTGCATCTAGATTAATCATGAAATACCTTCATCCATGTCCACTGGATCAGGCCTGGCTGGTTTTGTTTCTGGATTTGGATCAATCTCACCAGGTTTAAGCTTTCGAGGATCATCAGCAGTTTCTTCTTCTTGATCTCTTTGTGCAGCTTTGTCACTGAAACACGTTCAGGGACATCAATTCAATTTCATTACATCTTATTAAAAAGAAGTGATTTTCAAAACATTCTTTCAGAGCAGAGTCAGCATAAAACCATTGAGCACTGATATTTGTGTGTAACAACGTGCACTGAACTTTAACTTGAACAAAGTTAATTTCTGCTCTAAAATTTGTATTTGTTTAAGCATGTTTTAAGTATGCGTTGGTGTGTGTCTTGTGAAAGTTGGAGCATATTTCTACATCTCTAATGCTTTTATTATTTTTACCCAGTAACTCCAGCACAATAAAACCAACTGCTTACTTGTTTAACTGAAGAAAACTGTCTGATTCATTCTTTACCATCTACATGTAAACAGATAATTACGTACTGAATTGGCAAATATATCCTTTTTAAGCTTAAAAAACTCTGTTACAGAACTGTAACAGCAAAGTTTAAAAAATCATGTTCCTAGTTCAAACTAATGTTTTGCACCTGTGTTAATCAGACTTTTTCAACAAAGACTGTTTCTCCTAATTTAAAAAATGGGAAGATATTAGATTATTGCCAGAAGTGTACTTTGCATTTATTTTCAGTTACAAGTTTCTCACATAAACTTTCCCCAGCATTTTGGCAGCCTTTTATTTTCTCTATTTCTGCTACATTGTTTCACTCAATGAAAAAATTCAAAAGTGTTCTTTCTACTCAATACAAGGAATAACAATCGTCATAAGTACCTATATTCTTATGATTTCTTAAGAATGCAACACAATCTATAAATTCCTAAATAGAATGTAGCCAAAGAAAACAATCAGGTGGCTGATTTTAAATATTAAAAATGATCTGCCAACTTACAGAAGATATTCATAATGTTCCAAACACTGGGCAGCTGTTCTGCCAATAATTGGTGCAATGGTCCTCCACTGTGTTGGCATAAGCTTTGCCAAGTGCAGTAACTTTTCCTCTTCCTCCCTTGACCACTCTGTCTTTTTGATACTTGGATCCAGCCATTCATACCTTGTTTGCGAAGAAATGTCAAAAACATGATTTAAAATAACAAAATGTTAGGCTAGAGTTTCACTTGTAATTAGCTATATATTTACTGTAACAAGCAAGACAAGCACACAAGTTAAAAGTCTGCTATCAATGCAGAACTACAATTGAGTAACGTTTTATTATACGTAACTAAAATATACATATCGATCTGGATTTTAAAAACGGTGGTGAAACATTAGAGTTTGGCATCGACAATGATGCAGTCAATTGTAATGAGTTATTCTTAGAAATAGCAAACCAGGAGGTTAAGAATAATAATCACTGACATTTAACTTAAAAATCCACATAGTGAAATATACAATTATAATTTAAGATAGAAGTCAAAATATAATCAAACCTTTGAACGATTTCAAAACTACGCAAAATTATCAAAATGGAAAGAGCTGGCACTCTTAAACTAAACTTTTTTTTTAGGGCCAGTAAGAATGTTTAACAGTCATTATCAACTTAACACGTTATTAGAAGTTGAGTAACACCTCACTCAGGAAGTTGTTACCTTTACAGGAGTTTTTTTAAATAGTGAGACTAACAGCGTAAGACTGGAAGTTTCATCCATTTTAAAACAAAATTCCTTTTGATGCCAATTGAGTGACCTCAATAGAGACATTCTGGGAAGCATAGAATTGCTGACAACTTCAGGATATCCATGCTATTCTACACGTGTACAGGCTTCAAAAATTGTTAGTCTTGGTGTGTAATAACAGAAGATACTGGAAGTTTCACTGACACCATCACCACAAAATTTGGCCCAAAGCCAATTTATTATTTTAGTTCCTATTTTGTGAAGCATTTTACTTATAATCACTGAAACATTATCTGTATTCCATGTATGATGTGAAGTAGAATTATAGTCAGTATCTGATAAATCTGGTGTGCCAGATCTTGATTTAAGATTGTACCTTAACCATAGCTCCCAACTTTAGGTGTTGCTAAGTGACATATGTACAAGTGATCTTTGATCATATGGTTTACAACATGCAGCTTATCCCCGTTCATTTCTGACAGCATTAATTCTTGAAGCCAATAAATTGATAGTTTTGACAATGAAACTTCAATGAAGGGCTTAAATTAAAAAGAAAACTGTTACACTTTTTTATTGTTTAGTTACTGTTTTAAGTAAACTCAACTTACCTACCATTTTCTCATCAACCTGTTCAGAGATATTATTACACACCTCCAGAGCAGGTAGGATTTGAACCTGGGCTTTCTAGTCCAGGGGTAGGGACATTACCACTATACCACAAGAGGGCCCCTTAAATTAACTGGTGAAACTGGGGATTGAACCGGGAACCTTTAGATCTTCAGGCTAAAATGCTCCCAACTGAGCTATTTCAGCAATAACGTCACTTAGTCTCCATATTCCTTAGCTGCTGAAGTTTATAACTGTGTAGTTTGTTTTGATATTATTGTGGCATATAGTGACATATGGGAAGATCATCTAAGACAAGTAGAAGGCCAATTTAATCAATTACCATCACCTAGCTTAGTTTAGCTAAAAGTGAATTTGGGAAGGCAAGACTTTGTACAATAAAATTGTGAATGAGGAATGAGAGTTGGCCACTCGGCCCTTCGACAAGGTCATGGCTGATCAGATATGAAACCCAACTCTACGTCTCACGTATCGTCAATAATCTTTCATCCCTTGGTCATTAAGCATCTCTGTACCTCTGCCTCAAAAATATTTAAAGATCCAGTATTTACTACTTTTGAGAAGCAGCATTCCTAAAACTCACAACAGTCTTTTCTCATATCCAATTTTAATGAGTTCCTCCTTCTCTTTAAACTATGACCTTAATGCTAGAGTCTCCCAAAAGAGAAAATATTCTTTCAACGTCCACCAGTAAAGTCTCCTCAGCATCTTATGCAGGCCCTTCTTCAGAAGGGTCACCGGGTCTGCAATGCTAACTGTGATTTTTCTTCACAGATGCTGCCAGACCTGCTGAGCTTTTCCAACAATTTCAGTTTTTGTTTGTGAAAGAGACTTGGGTGGGTTCAAGTACATAGTTCTTTAAAAGTTGCATCACAGGTAGACAGGGTGGTTATGAAGGTATTTGGCATGCTTGCCTTCATTGCTCAGATCATTGAACTTAGGAGTTGGATATCATTTTGAGGTTTTACAGGACAATAGAGAGGCCACCTCTGAAGTACTGTGAATAGTTCAAGTCACCCTGCGATAGGAAGGAAATTAGTAAATTGGAGAGAGTTCAGAAAAGATTTACCAGGATGTTGTTAGGACTGGAGGGTTTCAGTTATAAGCAGAGGCTGTATAGGCTGGGACTTTTGTCATTGGAGCATAGGACCTTACAGACGTTGAAGGTGACCTTACAGAGGTTTATAAAATCATGAGGAGCATAGATGAGGTGAATAGCAAAGGTCTTTTTCCTAGTGCAGGGGAGTTCAAAAACTAGGGGGCATATTTTTAAGGTGAGAGGAGAAAGATTTAAAAAGGGACCGAAGGGCAACATTTTTTGACACAGAAAGTGGTTCGCAAATTGAATGAACTGTTGGAGGATATGGTAGATGCAGTTACAGTTAGGAAGACATTTGAACAGGTACATGATTAGGAAAGGTTGAGAGGGATGTGGGCCAAACACAGCCAATTGGAACTAGTTTAGTTTGGGAAACTTATTCGGCATGAATGAGTTAGACTGAAGGGTTTGTTTCCATGCTGTATGACTCTATGACTCTCTTTTAAAAAAAAACTTTAAAATTTCAAATTGTGTACATAACCTATTGATGTGGAGAGGCAGCAAGGAATAAAGGTTCTTCTGCCAAGCTTTGTGTGATGGATTGCGTTGTCTGACAGCTATTCCACGCTTATTAACAGATTTAAATAACAATTTCTACACAATGGGGGAAGAATTGTCAAACTTACCATCTAGCTTTGCATTGTTTGGCTGACTTCCTGTGCAGCAGAGATGCAATACGAGACCACTGGTTTTTGCCATATTTCATAACCGCTGCTTTAAGAATCTCATCCTAAATAAACAATAGCATTATTAATGAGTTGACACATTTAAAACAAGTAAATATGTTTAGCATGCAAGGCACTAAGATTGGTAGATATGAAAAGGATGCTATTATGGGTGAATTTAGAACTAGGAGTCAAAATGAAGCAATTCATAGGTGAATAATTCCCCGTAGAGGTCTCTTAGTGCTTTTCAAACGTACTGGATTTCTTTCAGGGTGTAACCAGCAAGGTGGATAATGGGGCAAATCTATACTTCTGGAAGGCATTTGACAGGTGCGTGCTGCATGAAAGACTGATCTAGAAGATTAGATCCCAGGGGTTAAGGTAGAGTACTTGCTAGATTAGAGGATTTGTTGACTGACAGAAAGCAGAGAGTCAGAATAAATATGTCCTTCTGTGGATGGCAAACCATAACTAGTACAGTGCCGCAGGGTTCAGTTCAGGGGGTGGTGGCGGGATGGGGGGGGGTAGGGGGTGGGGACCTCACACCTTTAAAAAGAACTCAGGTGAGCATTTGAAGTGTCATAACGTTCAAGGCCATGGGCCTAGAGCCAATGGGATTATTGTAGGTAGCAGTATATCCTTCGTAATACAAACATGATCGTCTGAAGGGCCATCTGTACAAAACTGAACATAATTCCATAAAACACTGCGGTGTGCCACAAGGATTGGTGCTGGGTCCACTGCTTTTCCGTCATTTATATAAATGATTTGGATGTGGACATGGGAGGTATGGTTAGTAAGTTTCCAAATGGCAACAAAATTGGAAGTTTAGTAGACAGCACAGAAGATTACCTCAGTGTATAATGGGATCTTGATCAGATGGGCCAACAGACCAATGAGTGGCAGATGGAGTTTAATTTAGATAAATGTGAAGTCCTTAAGGTCCTGGGGAGTGTTACTGAACAAAGAGATCTTGGAGTGCAGGCTCATAGTTCCTTGAAAGTGAAGTTGCAGGTAGATAGGATAGTGAAGATGGCGTTTGGTATGCTTGCCTTTATTGGTCAATGTACTGAGCATAGGAGTTGGGAGGTCATGTTGCGGCTGTACAGGACACTTGTTTGGCCACTATTGGAATGCTGCATGCAATTCTACTATTGCAAGGATGTTGAGAAACTTGAAAGGGTTCAGGAAAGATTTACAAGGACATTGCCAGGGTTGGAGGGTTTGAGCTATAAAGAGATGCTGAATAGACTAGAGCTATTTTCCCTAGAGCGTCAAAGGCTGAGGGGTGACCTTATAGAGTTTTAGAAAATCATGAGGGGCATGGATAGGGTAAATAGCCAAGGTCTTTTCCCTGGGGTGGGGGAGTCCAAAACTAGAGGGCAGAAGTTTAAGATGAGAAGGGAAAGATTTAAAAGGGAGCTAAGGGGCAACATTTTCACACAGAGGGTGGTGCAAATATAGAATGAGATGCCAGAGGAAGTGGAGAAGGCTGGTGCAATTACGACACTTAAAGGCATCTGAATGGATATTGAATAGGAAGGGTTGACAGGGATATGGCCAGATGCTGCCAAAAGGGACTAGATTTATTTAGGATATCTGGTAGGCATGGACAAGTTGGACCAAAGGGTCTGTTTTCATGCTGTATATCTCTATGACATAGCAGCAAAAATAGGCCATTCAGTTAAACTGAAAAGAGTCCAATGAGATCATGGTTGATCTGATAATCCTCAAATCCAATTTCCTGCCTTTCCCCACAACTTTCGAATACCTTACTGATCTTAGCGTTGAATATACTTAACAACCCAGCCTTGACAGCCCTCTGGGGTAAAGAATTCCACAGATTCACCAGCTTCTAAGAGAAAAAAATCCTTCTTATCTGCGTGACCCCTCATTCTATGATTATGTCCCTGGTCCTGCAAGGAAAAACAACCTTTCTGCATCTGCCCTGTCAAGTCCTCTAAGAACGATTTTGTTTCAATAAGGTCACCTCATTCTTCTAAATTCCAGTGACAACAAGCCCAACTTTATTCAACCTCTCCTCATAAGACATTCCCTCCATATCCAGTATCAGCCTATTAAACCTTCTCCGAATTGTCTCCGATGCTAATATATCTTTTCTCAAGATAACGTCACAATATTCTAGCTGTGGTCTGACTGGTGCCTTGTATATTTCTAGCAAAATACCCGTACTTTTATAATCCATTCCCTTTGGAATAAAAATCAACATTCCATTTGCCTTCACTATTACCCACCCGAACATGGATGCTAACTTTTGAGATTCATGGATTTTATAATTCAATTGATCACCCTGGATTTTGAACTCTAACCGTCAGTGTTTTCTTTAGCATAAGAAGTGTCAGTGCAAGGAAGTAAAACGTAGTTTTTGGCACCCATTTTCAAGTATTCACAGATCACACTCTGAGATTCGAATAACATGCAGGTGTGTGAAAAGCACTTCAAGCCGCAACACTGCACAAGATAAAAGGTAAAAAAGGTAAAAAATCGCCGTTGTCTTAGCAGACCATAGGGCAGTGCTCTCATTAGAAGACGATTGGTGGTGGTTCATCTGCAGGTCACCTCAGGCGAGGGGAAGAAATTGAGAAGTGTCCTTCAATGGTAACCTCAGCTGCTGCGGAAATTCAACCACCTTGCATTGGTTTAGTACACAGCAAAGGAGTCAGTGATTCCAGGGTCAATTTCTGAATGTTTGAAAAACTGTCCCTAAAAGAGCGGCATTAAACAGTTTCTAAATCACGAGAAATTTTTACTGCAACAAGCCGCCAACTAACAAGAAACCCAGGAGGCTTGGTGTAATTTTGGCCGTGGCAAGGGGAAAAGACCATCAAAATACTTAACGTCGCACGGTGAAAACACTGAAATGCAACCAGGAAATACTACCACCAGGTCGGACAAGGGGGAAGGAAGACAGCAGTCTCTGGGCCCGGCGGAAGCGGGTAGACCCCGGTCTCCGGGCCTGTCACAAAGGCCTCACCGCTCACCTCCGTGTTCCTCCAGACACCTCCTTTAATCATTATCCGCGGCATCCTGGCACTCAGCGACTAGTCCGAGGGAATCCTCGGCAGCTGCAAACGGTTAGGAAGGAGCTCAATTATTCGGCCAAGCTTGAACCCAGCTCCGGTGATGAACCTCCGGCCCGAGGTACAGCAACGGGTGACAAGGAGAACACACGCTCCCAAGGTAGCCCGCTACCGCCACTAAGAGCGCCGCCAAGCCTGGCTGACTGACACTGCACCCATTCCACTCCTCTCAACTTTACACTGGACAGAACACTTTCCAACGACATCATCCCAAATAAACAAATCTTTGATTGTGGGAAGAGTCATAGAGTCGTACAACATGGGAAAATGACCCTTCGATCCAACTAGCCCATGCCGACCAGGTTTCCCAAACTAATCTACTCTGATTTACCTGCGTTTGACCCATATCGTTTTACTACTCACGTAGCTGTCAAAATGTCTTATAAACGTAACTGTACCTGCATCTACCACTACTTCTGGCAATTCTTTCCATATATGCACCATCCTCTGTGTGAAGACATTATCCCTCCGTCCCTTTGAAATCTTTCCCTTCTTACCTGAAACCTATGCCCTCAAAGGTGAGAGGGGAACGATTTAAAAGGGACTTGTGGGCAACTTTTTCATACAGAGGGTGCTTAGGCAAGATTGGTGTTTCTGCGAAGGAAGAGCATAAGTTTCTGCTGAGGCTGATTTATTGAAAGGGTTCTCTTACCAAGTTCCAAGGTAGTTCCTGGCAGCCTGGTCTAAGTCAATGTGGTCTCAGTGGTATAGAGGAACAGTGACCTTCATTGCTCTGACAGGGTAAGTGCTCTGCTCTACTTTCTGCTACCTGACATTCAATCACTCTACTACTGCACTGACCTTGCAACAAGAGTCACTTTTACTATTGCCTTCAACATCTTCCCTCATTCATCCTTCTTTCCTCTAACCTCCCACAGCATTAAATATGCATGGTTTCTGCACTACCTATGCATTTGCCCAGGAGGCCTCATCACCTATTGTCCACCTGTCCCAGCAGTATTAGTCATCCTGATACCCATCCACATTTTGACTGAAAGAATTTTCCTCAAATCCCTTCTAAATCTCCTGCCCCTTACCTTAAATTTATTGTCCAGTTATTGATTCCTCTAATAAGGGGAAAAGTTTCTTTGAACCTACTGTATCTATGCCTCTTGTAATTTTGTACACCTCAATCAGGTCCCCTCTCAGCCTTCTCTGCTCTAAGGAAAATATCTCCAGCCTTCTCAGGCTCTCTTCATAGCTAAATTAATCCAGCCCAGGTAACATCCTGTTGAATCTCTTCCTAGAATCATAGGATAGAATCATAAAATCCTTACAGTGTGGAAGCACATCATTCGGCCCATCAAGTCCATTCTAACCCTCTGAAGAGCTTGCAGCCCCCTACCCTGTCCCTGTAACCCTGCAATTCCCCCGGCTAATCCATCTAGCCTGCACATCCCTGGAGAGTATGGGCAATTCAGCATGGCCAATCCACCTAACTTGCACATCTTTAGACTGTGGGAGGAAACTGGAGCACCAAGAGGGAACTCATGCAGATACAGGAAAATGTGCAAACTCCACACAGACAATCACCCAATTCTGGAATCAAACCTGGGCCCCTGGTACTGCGAGGCAGCAATGCTAACCACTGAGCCACCATACCATCCCAGTCTCAGTCATGTTCAACCCTGAGCTCTTCCTCAAAACTGGTCCTTCCGAGTGTATAATTCACTGCCGCCTTTCTTCCAGATGTGCCCACTTTGATGAAGTTCTGCCCTTCTCTCCATCAGGCCTTCCCTTTTAATCTTTCAGCCTCAGCATGTTCATTGCTTTCTGTCTCCATTTCTGAAGAAGAGTCATACCAGACTCAAAACATTAATTCAGTTTCTATCTCCACAGATGCTGCTAGACATGCTGAGTTTCTCCAGCATTCTCTGTTTGTTCCATTTTCCTCCAGTGCAGACTTGCCATTTTCAATAACAATAATATTATTCATGAGCCTTCAATACAAGTTTTCTCTGGTGCAATCATGTTCTTCCTACAGTGTGGTGACCAGAACTGCACACAGTACTTCATCTGTGACCTAATATCTTATACACAGCAACCATTACTTCCCTCCTCTAGTACTCAATGCCTCAATTAATAAAGGCAAGTATCCCGCAAATCTTTTAAACCACCTTATCCACCTGTCCTGCTGCCTTCAAATAACTATAGTTATGCATACAAGATCCTTCTGATTCTCTCTACTTCTTAAGGCTCTACCATTCAACATGTACTCCCTCGCCTTGTTAGTCCTCTTAAAATGTATCACATCTCACTTTTCATTGTTAAATTCCTTTTGTCACTGTTCAGCCCATCTTGCCAGCCTAACAACTGTTTCAACCATTAAAGTTTCTTTACACCTGGTCACTGGACTCAAAACGTTAAGACTTTTTCTCTTTCTTTAGATGCTGCTAGAATTGTTGAGCTTCTCCAGCAATTTGTCTTTATGTGTCTCAGATCCCCAGCATCTGAAGTTCTCTGTTTTACATTAACTTTTCATTTCCATCCTCAAATGCTGCCCAAATCATGTTCCCCTTTTTTTGTGTATGTGTCTCCCTGAAACTCTTCGTGTTTTTGTACCTCGACTGGGGTAAATTTTAAAGTTGTGTGGGTCACAGTGGGGAGATGAACTTGAGACAGTTTGAGAGTTTTGGGGTGGGGATGGTCGGTGGAAGAAACTACGACTCCCATGATGCCCTGGAATGTTTGGTGGGGGAAGGTGGTCTGAGGACGGCGACGCAGTGCGCATGTCCCGCCGGCGTTGCCGCGGTGCAGGCTGGGATGTGAGTTCCACACTAACCCTCCTCCCCTTCCCCAGACCCAGGCCAGTTCCCAGTGACCATGGTGGGTACGTACTGTTGTGTGCCGGGCTGCTTCAACAACACCCTCAAGAACAAGGAGCTCTCCTTTCACGTCTTCCCCAAGGACGAGACGCTGCGCGGCGTTTGGATCAGAAACCTGTCGCGCTTGGATGAGAGAAAATTCAGCGTGTGGCAGCCCAAAACCCATCACAAAGTCTGCGACGCCCACTTTGCTGGAGGCAAGAAGACCTACATGAACAATGTGCCCATCGTCTTCCCCGTGAAGGTCGAGAGGTCCCGCAGGAAGGAGCAGGCCAGGCTCCTGCTGCTGGGTGCCAAGGAGATTACCCCACCAGGTACTCTCCACACATGCAGCAGCAGATGGACATACCCCGCCTCCAGTGGTCAGGTCAAAAGTTTATAATCCCTGTTGAATTTAGCGTCGAAAATGTCAGAAACGTTGAAAATTCTGATTGTTTTATTTATGGATAAAAAGTAATCCGCTTGATTTTAGGGAGTAGCGGTCAGGTCTGTATCTTAAACAGAATTCGCTCCCTTGTAAATCAATCACACAGACGTGGAGATTTCCATTTGAAGTGCCTGAACTGCAGTCTGTTGTTTACAGTGTAATCTGAACTCGTCAGCTGTGTAACTGTTATATAATTCGCTAGTTTTTATTGAGTATTTCGTGATGACGTTGTGTTTTTCAAATGGGTCCG